TAGTATTTGGTCACATCGAGTATGTAAGATTTGATCCAATTGCACGTTTGGGATTCAAAGATTCGTTTGATTATTAGTTAGGAGCTCCTGATTTTGTTCTGAGCAGGTATGTCACATTTGACTCTCGGCAGGTGGAGAGTGTTAAACAGATCATTGGGATATCGTAGCGGGTGGAGGGTGATGCTACTTCACATTGGATGGAGATTACTCCACATACTCCAGATCTTACTGCATCGTTTGTGATTCTAGCTGAGGTGACACAGTTTGGAGATCATTTGGATTTGGATGCAGATGATGAGTTGGTTTTGGATTCGAGTGCAGCTAGTGGACATGTTTTGGATACGGCCATTGGTTCACCTCTGGTGGAGGTGTTTGATTTGTTTTAGTTTGGGGCCATTAGGAACGCTATCAGTTGCAGATCCGTTGGTGATATTGGTGAAGAGTTGTAAACTTTTTTATTTGATTGAGGGCCTTTGGAGGCCGTTTAGGTAAACTACGTGAATGCTTGATTCCTTGGGCAAGATGATACGTAAGCAGTCATTTATGATGTAGTCGGTTTGGTGAGTTGATATCGACATTTGGAGTTTGTTCGCATTCCTATTTGGGTTCTCAATTTGTTGTGGATTGAGTCTATTGTCGTGGATTTGTTCCACTTTATATTGGATGCAACAAATGAGACGTTTGGTTGGTATTGGTGTCAGCTCAGTTTTGAAAAAACTTTACCGAGATGGAGAATAATTGGATAGCAGGTTCCTAATATGTTTCCTAATTTGTTTTGGTAACAAGTTATTAGGATTCCTAATCTGTTTTGGTAACATGATTCCAAATCTGCTTTGGTAACAGGTTATTAGGATTTCTAATCTGTTTTGTTTTTTAGAATTCCTAGTATGTTTATGATTTTAGGATTTCTATATATATAGAACAATTAGAACAGAGAACTGAGATGAAAATTGGGGATATTTGGAGCACAGAAAAGAGGTATTTTCTGAGCTATTGGTTAGCGTTTTGTTTGGAGAGAATTACAGATTTGTTAGTGAGATTAATTGGTGAGTTTGAGTGATTTGTAATCTCAGTTTGTACTTTTCTTCTCTATTAGTGAAAAACCCTATCCCTTTCTTGCCCCGTGAACGTAGGCAACTTGTCAAACCACGTTAAAATTGGTTGTTTGTGTTTGTGGCATTGATTTGGTTCGTTTGGCCTTCTCTCGACGTTCGTTTGATTTGATTTCTCGTAACAAGTTGGTTTGGTTGTTTGGCTTCCGCAGCGCACAACAGGAGTAAGTTTTAGTAAGAAAATAAACCAAAAATTCTTAAATTAAAGTGAGCAAAAATATCAAAGTGTAACCGAGGAATAAATTTTAATTAGAAAACAAACTAAAAATGCCTAATAACATTATTTAACCACGTGCATTGCACGTGCATAAAATCTAGTGTTCTAAAACGAGCAAGAAAAACAGTAGTTGTGTTTACTATTTATAATTACAATCGTCAGCAATTTAGTGGAAGATTGTGGTGTGTTTGAATCCAAGTTTAAATATAGGCAAGGGTTAATTGTGAATAAAACCCCTAACATATCGTCCAATTGTGGAGAAGCCCTCTATAGTTAGATTGTTGCAGATAGCCCCCTGTGTGAACGTTTTTGACTCTTTATCCTCATAGAAAAAAAATAGTTTTTCTCACAAGGGTTTTTGGCATATATACCTGACAATTCTTCCATATTTATAAATTTATCCTTAAAATTTTGGTATTTGTAAAATTACCTCTAGTTCTCTCACATTGAGATTTTTACCCCTCCAACCTAACAGTTAAAGTCATTAGACAAGAATCTGTTGCAACTGTATTAAAAAGTTTCAAAAAATTTAACATTCTACTGTGGAAACCAACATTGTTAAGTAGGATGGGTAAAGAAAAAAGCCTAATGTGAGAGAATTGGAGGATAATTTTGCAAATATAAAGAACCAGGGATAAATTTGTAAATATGAAAGATATGAGGGGTATATATGCTAAAGCCCCCCTTTAACAAATAGAATTCTTATGGGTAAAAAAAAAAGAGTTTGAAAAAAATTCACTCATGGTGCAATTGGGCTATAGTACCGAGGCCCTATCCGCATTGATAGAAATATAGGTATGTGTCCGACAGTTAACCCTGTTTAAAATTTAGGAAAAATCTTTTAGATTTGAAATGAATCAACGGTCTATTATTAAATGAACCACGGTCCTTTATATATGAAATGGACCATAGTCCGACACTCCTGTTTGGGGACGATCGACCATAGTCCGACACTCCTGTTTGGGGACGATCTATAGCGGGCTAGTCTCGTGTTCGAATCCCCTCGCAGATAAGAAACACTCGACCTAGTGCTAGCCACGAGTGCGAGCGGGGATTAGTCCCATCAATAATAAGGTGTGAGGATACAAAAATGAACCACAGTTTTTTTTCATTAAATAGTAGATAGTTAGAGTAAAATAAGAACTGATATCATCGTGAACATCCTCGACAAGGATTAGAAAAAGAGTAATTTAATTAGGCTACTCTCTCCTAAATTACTCTTACACTGCAAGAGAGAGAGAATTGCTCAATTAAAAAAAGAGAGAGTTATATATAATGAATTCTAATCTCTTGTAGTGTGCGGGTAGTTTGGGAGGAGTACCCTAATTATCACTTCTCTTCTTTAGCTTCCATGTCTCATTTATCTACAACGCATCGAATATATGTTCTAGGGATCTAAAGAATTTGGTAGGTGTGAACTGAATCCATCAAACACTACCGAATCACTTTCGTAGCCTTTGAGATCTTTTGAAAGTACTCATCACTCACAAAAGGTTCAGACTTCCTGCATCACAAAAATATTTCAAACAAACCTTTATTGGACCATATACAAACCAAAGTTGTGACGAGAAAGTACAATAGCTTAGAGCCCCACCATTACCAATATAGACAAGCGCGTTTCGTCCATTATAACCTAGGCTGGGGAATATTTGAAATAGAAGTTAAAGAGAATTTTGATTGTTATTTGTGAGACCTAAGCACTACAATGACAGGTCCTACAATATTGCGTATGCATCCTGAGAAAACCTTTTCCTTGATTAGGCTAATTCCTTATATGCATGGAGGGCCACAAAAAGTGAAGAATACTAGGACACGAGTTCTTAAATCTTCATATTTTGTATTGATCAAATTATTTACATCCCTTAAGAGCTTGCGTCTAGCTAATAGATCATATCCACTAGATACTTTCTTATGAATTTGGAGTACGTAGGCCTATACATTTTCTTGACTGGAAACAGGGTGAGGTGCCCTGCATGCATGCATATATATATATATATATATATATATATATATATGAAAAAATTTACATATCCGTCTTCTAGAGATTGTTGGAGGAAAATTCCAATACCCCAAGGCCAAACAGCATAAAAAAACAAACCAAGTTAAAGTTAACCTACTACACTGGTAACACCAGAAAAAACATCCGACAAAAAACACCAAAATGCTTCAAAAGGACAGAGACAAAAGACTGGGACTGGGAATAGAAGGACTATAAAGTCATACTGCAGCAGAGAAATTATCACCCACCTAAGCTTCGTCGTTCGCTTGAGCAATGAGCTTCATGCCCAAATTGATAGCAGCTTAGTGGACGTAGGCCTACACATATAGATAAAAAGGAAGAAAGTGAAAGCTAGATATGTCCAAATATAATTTTAATGTTGGTGATCGTAATGGTTTGTGTATTGTTTAAACTGATTATTAGAACTGATTTAAAATAGATGTTGACAACTCGTATGTCTCTCCATTTTGCATTTTCCGTTTTCATAAAGAGGACCCCCCCTGCCTTCTATTTATTCCACTACTAGTGCATGCCCTCCTACATTCTTCTAGCAATAGGACAGTGATTGTTTAGCAATAGGACAGTGATTGTTTATTCTTTAATTGTATGGGCTCATCATATTAATAAAATTTTGGGGATCTTTATGGTTAGGGAATATTATGTTGGCCATGAAGTTAAAGATGTTGCACGCTCTAGTTATTTAGGCTGATAACATTGCCTGTAATAATTCAGTTTATCATAAGAAATCTGCATCCTTTATAATAAAGAACAAAGTTTAGGCATCATTAATGTGATTCACTAAGATCTCATTTTCTTTTGTTAATGATCTATTGGCTTCTCTAATGCACTAGAGCACACATCTTAGATGTGTATTTGTGTTTTGCGTGTGTAATGAGTTCTGTACTTTTTAGGACAAAAAATGTATATGAGTTGACAACCTATTTTACAAAATTAGCTATTTATTAACATTAATTATGTTTAGATCCACCTAGTTATCAGATTGAACACCGCAGGGTATAGTGTTTAAGAGTGGGCAACTCATTTGGTTAAACAGACTGGTAGCTCATATCCATTAGTTTCATTTTATTAAGTCAGAAAAATTTTATTAAGCTTGTCCATTCTTCTTTTTCTAAATAAAGCACGAACTGGTCAAGAGAAGTTTAACTTTATACATAAAAAAAGTTTTATAAACATGATCGAAATCTTGCATTTAAGTTATGTGTGCATAAATGTCTTCTTTCTTTAGACACTAATCCACTCTTTTAGCATGGTTACACAATATAAGTTTAGTTTCTGTTGTAACTTTGTAATCTTTTGTAATAAACTGTTAGGACGACAAAATTGATAGAATAGTCTCATCCAAAAATGGTCTCAGGAAATAAATGTAATTGACATTGTCACAACGATAGCCCATTTATTAGTTGATGTAGCAACGTGGGCATCGGGCGCAAAAGTTCGACTGGCTACACATACAGGGCTCCAGTTAGGAATAAACTGCACACTCAAAGCTATTTAAAAACAATAAGGCCTTAAGAAAGCCCAACTAAAGCCGAAAATTTCAACACTCTTCCGGTTAAATTTAGAATCCGAATCCAAATCCAAATCCATCCAGATACCCACTAATGAAAGGACCCGGATCCGATAAGGATATTCTTTCCTTGTAAACACGATCGAGATCAAGCTGATAGTGTTTCGGACAAAAAATTACAAACTCCGTGATAACCAGAGATCTGTGAGCTAGGGTTTCTTCAAATCACCAAAAAAAGAAAAAAAAAATCAAGATGTGGTTGCTTGATTCAATCTTAAATTGGCTCCGGAGGTACCATCCCTTTCTTTCTCTCACTTCGTAAAATTATATTTTGATAACCTGAAGTTTTGATTTTGGGGCTAAAGATTTCAACTTGATTGCTGGAAATTTTTGTAATTTTAGAATTTTTTAGTTTCATTGCTGTCGTTTGGGCCTGTGAATATGTTATGCTAGTAAAATTTGCGGATTGTGAAATTGTGATGGTAGGGTAAAGATGAATGATGCGATGTTGCAGAAAAGGAAACCGAAATGGAATCTATTGATGGTTGGGTAGAAGGATATATTTTTATAATTAAGGAACGATGAATCGCAAAGGAGTATGTTTTGCTTGATTATGTATCAGTCGCTTGCGATTGAGGTGGTTTGGTTATGGGCAATGAAGGACACTAAATGCCAAGTTGATAGAGTTATAATATTATAATTAGGATTAGAGATAGGCCTAAGAAAACTTGGTTGGAAGTGAGTAAGAAAGATATGGTAATAGGCTAATAGCTAAGAAAACATAGGAGATAGCCCTTAACAGAACTGAAAGGAAGAAAACAGGGTTCATGTAGCCGACCCTAAAGTGGGATAAAGGGTTTTTGTTGTTGTGTCAGTCTTTTGAAAAGGAAAATAAATCCTTTAGAGGGTGTCAGTGCTCGGGAATTTCATAATTCAAAATTTGGGATTCACAGTTCTGTGTAAGTCCTTATGTATTTGAAGCACTGGGATCAAATTTTTTGTTAGAGTGTGCTTGATATATGGAGTTTAGAGAGAATCAACAACGTAGAAATTTCTATACCCCTTCCAAATTTTGTGGAAACCTAGAGAGCACAAATCCATGTTAGTTTATTATTTAGTTTTGGTTTATCAAAACATATTGAAAGAAGTTGAATTGCATTCTGATGTGGTATCAATTGCTCAGTCTTATTTTTCATCTTGATTTGAGCTAGCAGTGAGAAAGAGACTTCAAAGGAAATAGGGCTAATTATATTAAGCCCTCCCAAAATTTTCAACACTTTTCGCTGGCAAAGTTACTCCTTTAGCATTACCTCCTACCATCTAAAAGAATGTGTGTCAGGCACATCATTATTTTTATGCAAATTATTTTCACAAATATCCTGTAGTTTAGAAAATGAAAAGATAAAAGTCAGAAATTTAATTAATAGAAATATAATTATCAAATGACTATGTCTCAGTCTATATGAAGATCAAGTGCTATCCTTTTTTACTTTGAATAATTTAAATTTAAACATGATCCGAATTGCATCTTGTGTGTATGCCTAACAAAAATCCATTCCCCAACTAAACATTTTTTCAGTAAGGAATATTGGTTGTCAATAGTTAGTCTTCATATTATAGTTGATTAATCATTACTTTATGTTTTATTTTGAATTTCATCTTCAAAATTTAGGGATTTGATTTTATATATTTGGTTTTTAGATGTATCGGGAAAGGGGAAAAAACTAATGAGTTTGGTTTTCCACTTGTCATCAACATATTAAAACTATCAATCCATTTGGGAGATCAATTCTTTTATTAATTTAGCAGACCTAATTTTCTGTAAAATATTGTGATTTTCCCAAGTCTGTACGAAACCTCTTCTGTTAAGGATTAGCGTGATACTTCGTAATCATCTCATTGGATAAGATCTGCCCACTTTGTAGAGCGTCATGATTTATTTGACGAAATCATTCAATGATCATTATTATTGCATCAATCTAGCAAAACGTGTGGTGCTTGCTGGTGAGATGGTTATTTTGAGGTCTCATTCACAATCTCAATGCATTGGTTCCTGAACCTGTACAGCTGAGTGCTGAAAGCAACTATCAGCACCCAAAGCAGGAGGGTGAAATAACCAAGATATCGCTCCCCCAAGTAAGAGATGTAACCTCAACTCTTATCACTAACAATGGTGACAAGAACCACAAAGGAAAACAGCTAACGGCATGATTCACTGGAGATATTAGCTTGTCATCAATATTTAGTGTTCTTTACTGATTAAGCCTTCACAGCAAGTTACAATTGCTCATATTTAGCATGCATTATGCTCTTGTATTTTCAATGATTTCTTGCTTTCATTGTATTTATCTTATATGATTATCTTTATTTATCTTGTTTGATGTACACCCTAATCATCTTAATGCTGCCAGATTGAGCTTCTTCTTTTAAGTTTATCAAGTCTGTGTTTGTCAAAAGCAACTATTATTATGGCCTAAGCAGCAATACTTTGCATATTTGGCCTAAGCAGCAATACTTTGCATATTTCTAATAGCATGCATTTCAGCTTGTTTTTTAAACAGGAAATGGAGCTTTCCCTTATTGGCCTTCAGAATGCTGGAAAGACATCTCTTGTCAATGCAATTGCAGTGAGTATATCTTACACTTCACTCGTTTCCTTTCCCTATATCTCCACAACACTCTTGATACTTATTTAAAATTTTTTTTAATCTTCATCTAGACAGGTGGCTACCACGAAGACCAGATTCCAACTGTATGCAATGCTACTTCCTTATGTATAATGCTCTAAAGAAATCGTTGATGTTTATTCAAGTTCCAAAACCAATATCTCTTTGGTGTCTAATACCAGGTAGGTTTTAACATGCGTAAAGTCACAAAAGGAAATGTGACCATAAAACTGTGGGATCTTGGAGGACAGCGGAGGTTTCGAACAATGTGGGAACGATACTGTCGTGGTGTCTCTGCAATTTTGTAACTCTCTCACTCACCCTCTATTGAGAATTTTATATTTCCATTAGTGGATTACTTTCTGTTATTCCCATAAGTCAAAATTCTTTTGGTTTTACGGTAACAAAAAATCTGTGTTGACCTTTATAGAAAATTCTCTCTTTGCAGATCAGTATTAAAAAACAGTTCTTAGAGTATCTTTTATAGGCTAAAACAGTCATTTTCCCTATAATTTATTCTTATATTACTGTGGATTAGCTAATGAAAACTATAAATTAGATGGCCGGTGTAAGGAAAGATCGAGGTGGGAAACCAGGAGTAAAACTATGGTTTCGATGTTTCCATATGTAAGCACATTGAATAGGAAGACCATTTAAAAAAAATAACTGTGTTTTACTTGTTAATATTAATATTATTACTGGTAGCCTTCGTTACTAGGGATGTTGGTCTTTAGAGAAAGGTCAGAAATGTTATGTTCTATATTATCTCCCTCGATAGGAGGAGATTGAACTAGAGGATGTTGGTCTTTAGAGAAAGGTCAGAAATGTTATGTTCTATATTATCTCCCTCGATAGGAGGAGATTTGAACATATTTTACTTTCAGCATATTAGAACTCTGCAACAATTTACCTTCTGTCAGTTCTTCAACTACTGTTCCAAGTGCTTACTTTTTCTTTTTATTGTCCGCTGCTATAGGTATGTAGTCGATGCTGCTGATTGGGACAGTGTTCCTATAGCGAAAAGTGAACTGTTTGATTTGCTGGCAAAACCGTCTTTACATGGGATTCCCCTTCTTGTTGTTGGCAACAAGATAGACAAATCCGAAGCTCTTCCAGAGCACGCATTAGTTGAGCAACTGTGAGTCTGTCAATACTATTTTTTTACTTTAATTATAAATACTGCTGTACTATGAGAATGTAGTCATTTATATAATCCTAAATTGTTTTGCTTGCACTTCCACCCCCTCCTGGTAATGTTTCTCCAGTTTGGTTGAGACGTTACGTTAGAATTATGTGACGATAAATTATCTTTTATCCTGTTTAACATAGAAAATACTAAATTGCTCTCTAGGTGAGCCCAAAAGAGTAATGCTTATGAGGTTTAGGGGGTGTGAGCGCTGAGAAAATAGTCTAGGGAGTTTCAGTTCTATCATTTTATTTTCGAACTCTCTGTCTGCTTTTGATATTTGTGCTCGTCCAGTGGTCTGAAGGAATTACAGGACAGGGATGTCTGCTGCTACATGATCTCATGCAAGGACTCCATCAATATCGATGCGGTTATTGACTGGCTAATCAAGCACTCGAAGACTGCATCAAACTGATATCTAGCCTTGGTATTTAAGGAGAATATGATGTTCCAGTGTCAGATATTGGTTGTCAGTCGGAGAGATTGTTCCTGAAGAAACTTCTTGTTGTTAATTTATTTGTACAGCCGTTCATCTTTGTGTCTATAACTATTGTCTTTTTATCAATTGTGAAAAAACTACCATATTAAGCTTGATACTTCTTTTTAGGGGTTTCTGTCTTTTAACCCAAAGGTTTACCCCCACTTATTAGAAGACCCACTCACTTTCATAAACGCTCATCCCCCATAGTATGATTTATTTTTAAACCTAACTTGTGACTTATTTTTTTAAACCGAGCTTGTAGTATGTCCTCAAACTTTATACTGGATCTTCCAAAACAAATCCAAAATTTCCCTTTCCTCTCTTCTTCTGAACAGTGATCATGCTCCACGCTTATCGCATTAAAAGTGATGTGGAGAGAAATTTATTTTCGTGTGTTGCTTTCCTCACTTTTCAAAAACACAATTTAGCATATTTTTCTTCTTTGAAATCCCTAGTTCTTCCATTAATCTTCTCTCTTAAAAGTCTCTCTCCTCCGTTAGTATTTCTCCCCATAAAAGACAATAAATATGATTTTTAATTACAATCATGAAATATTTCTTTTTTTGTGCTCCCAATGTCAATAAGTCATATGTGGTACTTTGGATGTATGAGTGTTTATAGAAGTGAGCGGGATTTTAAGTAAGTGGGGGTAAAACTTTTGGTTAGTGACCTTTTATTTTAATTTCTTTGTTTGTTATTGTTGTTGTTGTTGTGAGAATGGGGGAAAAATAGCACATCAAAACACATGAGCCCCTATCTGAAATTTTCAGATAATGGTTTCAATTTTTTGGAAGGTTGTTAAGTAATTATTCTTTCTTCGGCAGTGCTTTTTGTACTGTGCCCTTGAACATTAGGGTGTCTCAGATAACTCCTCTACCTGTGAATGAAAATAGCTGAAATATCTTGGGCCACTTAACGTAGGGGGTTCCTTTAGGAATAGTAGAAAGTTTATCAGCAGCTTATGCCAAAGTTTCAGGGGGGTTTCACGGCAAAACAACCCAACGTTTAGGGGGTTTTCTTGAATTTTACCCCTATAACTACATTATTCAAGTGATGGTACAATGTAATCAATATTCATTTAGTCTCATCAGATATTGATTAAGTGATTGAATGATTTACAATGTAAGTTCAATGAGTGAAGTGCAACATTGACTAGTCAATTTTGGTAGTGGATTGAGCAAAACAGATATTGATTTAGTGATTGAATGATTTACAATGTAAGTTCAATGAGTGAAGTGCAATATTGACTTGCCAATTTTGGTAGTGGATTGATGAAAACCATGTATCGTACTCAGTGAGTCCACATCTTACATCGCGTCAGCGGGCTCAATGTTCTTGATGGTATATCACACACTATTAATTTCTTTCATGTCGTCCTAGAGCCAATAAAGAGTTATACTTCTTTATAAGATACTAGGGATTTCACCTAGAATTTGAGGATCAGTTCTTACGATTTAACATTCTGTATAATGAAGGAAGAGATAAAGAGAGAAGGGTTGGGCTTATTTGGGGAAGAAGAGACATTTTTGGAATTTGAGAAATTTTTTATTGGAAAATACAGTATAAAGTTTGGAGGTATACAACAAATTGGGTTCATAAAAAAGCCACATAGGGTACTTTGCATATATGGGTGTTTACGATAGTGAGTGGGTTTTTAAGTTAATTTACTTTGGATCAAAGGACAAAACCCTTTCTTCTTCCTTTTTGTTGTTGTTGTTGTGAGAATGGGGAAAATAGCACATTAAAGAACATGAACCCCTCTCCAAAATCTTCAGAAAACAGCTTCAATTTTTAGGAAGGCTGCTAAGTCATTATTCTTGCTTGGGCTGTGCTTCTTGTACTATACCCCTTGAGCTCCGGGGTGTCTCACATAACCCTAGTTACCCTACTAAACTTTCATCTTCACTCTACCTGTTAATGAATATAGCTGTAACGTCTTTGGCCATTTTAAGGTAGGGGGTTCTTTTAGGAAAAGTTGAAAGCTTTTAAGGTGCTCATGCCGAATTTTTTTTTTTTTTTTTTTTTTTTTTTTTTGGGGGGGGGGTGCGTTTTTTTTTTTTTTTTTTTTTTTTTTTTTTTTTTTTGTGGGGGGGGGTCATGGCAAAACAACCCGAAGTTTAGCGAGTTTTCGTGATTTTTACCCTTACATATACAGTACTCAAGTGATGGTACTTGACCTCGGAGTGGATGATAAACGTCCATAGATTGAAATCAAATATTCTCAGGAATTGATTTGAGTGCCATCTACATAGTCAATGGAGGTGAGCTGAGCATGTAGCTCAGTAGCAACATGCAACAGAAAAGAGCATTTATGTATTGGTGTGGTGGTTTTACGCACGTCATATCATCAACTATAACTTAGCCTTAGGCCAATACCAGCAGCTACATTTATTCACCAAACTCGGTAACAATTCCACAAAGGTACAAACTAAGTGATGGTTTTAGTAAAGAGACCATTTGACACAGAAACGGATGCTTAATTCTTCATGTTCTGGCTCGAGTTTCACGATTTCTTTGCCGATACAGCAGCTACACCCACATTTATTCACCAAACTCAGTAACAATTCCACAGAGGTACAAACCAAGTGATAGTTTTAGTAAAGAGACCATTTGACACACAAATGGGTGCTTAATTCTTCATGTTCTGGCTCGAGTTTCACGATTTCTTTGCCGCGTGCATTGCTACCTTCCTCTCAAGACCACTCTTATCCGCTCCAACAACCTTATCAACCTCCTTCCCGTTCCTCAGAAAGAAGAAAGTTGGAACGCTGCTCACGTTCCATCTCTGAGCAACTTCGCTAGCCTCATCAATATCTGCTTTCAAGAAAACAACATTCCGGTGTTTTTCTGCTAGGCTCTTGAAGATGGGGCCCATTATGCGACACGGCCCACACCATGTTGCAGTGAAATAGAGGATTGCTAATCGAGATAGTTTTGTTGCAGCCTTGAGCTTGGTTTCGAGGTCTGCAGATGAATGGATGCCCACCACAGTTCCTGCATTTTACATGTTAATTTTAATGAGTACTCAAAAGAGGTAAATTTGACACATTCCCTCTAAATTTTGGGGTTTTTGCACAGACCCGCAACCTACCCACCTAGACTTTAATAATTAGAAAAAAGCTCCATGAGTTTTTTCACTAATACTGTGTCTGATGCTAATACTGTGTCTGACGCTGTCACTTGATTCACATGTGATGTGGTTTGGATAATTTTACCCCTATGTATTTAATATATCTGCTATACTACCCTCTCCTATTTCAAGGGTGGTTTAGCCTTTTATCCTCCGCGTTCGCAATGTTATCAAAGTTTCAATAGTCCATGATACTTTTGTATAAGTTTAAAAGTTCATGGAGGTGTTTCCAATTTATAATGATTAACAGGGTTTGTGTAAAATCCTCCAAAGTTCGAAGGGTTTATTGAAAATTACCATATTCAAAAGTGATGAGAATCTAGCAGGAAGCAAATCTGCAGTGTGACATCTACAGAATCAGTCCTTTTGATGTCATGAAGCTAGTAATGGAAGCTTCTGAGAAGCGAGAAGCACCATTGACCTTAATGTATTTCTAATGTTTCCACGAAAAACGTGGATGCAATGTAGCGGCAAAGTTATGTTCATGTCCTAAATTAAAAGCATAATTTCAAACCATTCTTTCAAATAATTCCTTCTAACAAATAATTCCTTCTGATGCTCACGACAAGATATGCTATGGTAACATAAGCAATTTACAATGCTAAGATTTCTTCCTAGCAGGGGGTCTAAGCAGATGTGTTACCCCATTTACTGATCTGATCTCCATGTAAACAGATATCTTTGTATTTATGGACGTGCATGTGTTCATCAGATCTGGACAGGATTTGGAAGAAGATGTGGATTATTGGATTCAGGAGTCATTTCTTATTAAGACAGCCAAGCATGAAAAATGGCAAACGAAATAGTAGACTAACTTATAGCTGTTCAAATTTTCAGTCGTCCTCTAAGTTGATTTCTAGATTTATTTCTTTTCTTATATTAACTTTGAAAACACTAAAAGGGGACAACATATAGTAGTACAACCGTTTGTGCTTGAAAAGGAAATCAAGCACATACAAGTTAAAACCATACATATATAATGCTATTTTGACATCATAATGTATAGCTTTTGGCAGTAACATGAAATTGATGAAAGAAAAAACGCAAAATGAAAATAAAGATCATACCATCTTGTAAAGCAGCCAAGGATTCAGCGTCTTTTGACTCAGGATCCTGCTTTTGGATGCAAATACACATATGAGCATGTGTTGCTCTTTGAGCGCAAAGAGTCAAATCTCAAAACACTATCCTCATAAATTCCCTTGATAAAAGTGAAAATTAGTATTAGGCTAAATAGCACTTACATATCCCATAGTTACAACTACTTTTCACTTATATACCCCAACTTGTATTTGGTAGTCAAAAAATACCCTCAGGTTTTTAAACTTGCACTTATATACCCTCACTTTTTTTAGCGGCACTTAAATACCCTAATCTTTCTACAACTAGCACGTATTACCCTAAAATTTTTACAACTAGCACTTAAATACCCTCAAGTTTTCAAACCTTGCACATAAATACCCTCAGTTATGCAAACTTGAGCGTATTTAAGTGTAAGTTTTAAAAACTTCAAGGTATTTAAGTGTCAGATTTAAAAACTTTAGGGTATTTAAGTGCAAGTTTTAATCACTTTAGGGTATGTAAGTGCTACCAAAGACAAGTGAGCGTATATAAGTGCAAATTTAAAAAACTTTAGGGTATTTTCTTGCTATCAAATACAAGTGAGGGTATATAAATGAAAAGTAGATAAAACAATAGGGTATATTAGTGCTATTTAGCCTTAGCATTATACTTTTAAAGATGAAGTGTCTGTATTACAGAGTAAAGATCTCAGAAACTTTAATTAAAAAATCAGCACTAGTTAGAAAGAATTGTTTCCTTGTTACAAGGAAAAGTCATTGTGGCCCAGGTTAGATTGAGGAAAATGTTGTAATATTAAAAATTTAAATACCCACCTCAGCTTTAGCATGTTGCCGTTGCCTTTCACGACCTATTCTCCTTGTTTCTCTTTCTTTTCTTAGGCGTTCGTACTTTTTTCGGTGCTCTTCGATCTTGTGCACATTAGATGTAACCTGAAAAATAACAAAGTAATCATGTAAACAGGCTATTTATCAATTTTTTATAATAATGCATTCTAACCTTTTTAAGAACAGAATGAATCTCATCATCATGATCCAACTTAGATGCCATGTGTAGATCCCTTGCAGCTTCCTCCCATTGGCCCAACATAGCCTTCGCCATCCCTCGTGCTTTGTAGCCTTTTGCAGAATCAGAGTTTATCTTAAAACGGGAATAAAATCCAATCAGGAAAAGAGATGTGTGAAGGTTATTTATACTAAAATACAATGGGTAAATTACAGAAAATTACCCTTAGTTTTCAAAACTGACAGACCTCCCTCATTTTTAATTTCTAGTTAAAACAAGGATCACTTTTTTATGTAATCAATCAATTTTCAATATAACAATCATATATATGTTCATACGGGAGTGCATAAAATTGTCATGTCCTATGATATTAGCTTTTACATCCAAGTTAGTTTTGTAGAAATCAAAAGAGGGGGTAATTTCTAGTCAAACAATAATCAATTTTGATGTAATTATCAAATTTCATTTAATAGTCATATATATGTTCATGTGGGAGTGTGCATGATTGCCATATTCTATGGGACAAATTTTTGAAAGAGACATTTTTTTAAATTTATTGGGCAAATTCGACCCCTAGGAAAAAAAATAAGCAAAACCGACTGAAAAGGGTCGGTTTTGCAACCGACCCTTTTTGGCGAGCTGCACGGGACTAGTAGTCCTGTGCAGTTCGTTTAACCCCGTGACCCACCCCCAAAATTCATTCGCTCTCGTGATCACCCCCGCAAAAAAACACCCTAGC